TCTCTCTGTCTCTCTCTCTGTCTGTCTGTCTGTCCGTCTGTCTGTCTGTTTGTCTGTCTGTCTGTCTGTCTATCTGTCTGTCTGTCTGTCTGTCTGTCTGTCTCTTTCTCTCTCTCTCTCTCTCTCTCTCTCTCTCTCTCTCTCTCTCTCTCTCTCTCTCCCTCGTACGTGAGTTCTCTTCTTCAGTTCGCTCTTTGCCTTCCCACGTGTCTCGGTTGTTCCCTGTCTCGCGAGTATTCCCCGGTATTCGCGAGTATGCAGCCCACGCCGAACAAACTGAACCTGAGCTTCGCCAGAAACGCTTACAGCGTCTTCGGTAGCCGCAACGCAGCTGCCGTGAACGAACATCAGCGCGAGCAAAAGACAGAACTGCTCGAGGGTAAGTTGCAAGGTGGCCCGGCACGTGCTTCCGCCGGTTCACACCGGCTCACCGCTCGTCGCAACTGTTGATACTGCCTACCTCATCAAATAGACGTACATTCTCGCTCTCGCATCTCACAGCCTTATCGTGTTTATCGTCGACAAAGACTACGCAATATTCGGTCTCTCCCTCCGTCCCTCTCTCCCTCCCTCTCTCTCTCTCTCTCCATCGTATGAGAGATTTAATGCGAGATCTAATCAAGATAGTACATTCCACATAGCACGGGGGTCACGTGCTCGTGATCGCGATGATGCTCGGTGTGTCTCACATGTATATGTGCAAACACGTTTCCCAACAGAATCTGTTGACGCGATGCTCGCGGAGAAAGGCGCTCGAGTCGGACGAATCATCCCGCGATTGGCGAAGGAACGTTCGTGCGACGATCGTGGGCCGAATGACGAATCGGGCGGCTTGCTGTAACGTTAATTTCGTTTCAGGCAACAAGGCCAACGGCCTCCTGCCGTGCTTGAAGAATGGCGTGGACTACATCAATCCTGGTGAGGAAGATCAAATGGAGATTTATGGGTAAGTCGTTCGCTCATTCGCTCAGTCGCGTAATCACAGGTGAGCCACATCCGTTGGCCACGGATGAGTTCGTCTAATTTCCGCCACGTTGTGTCGCAGTTACAAGAGAAATCGCGCGCGCGTCATCATTACCTGGTTCCTCATCACCATCACCGGAGGTTTCCTCAGGCTGGTCTTCCACTGGGTGCCGCATTTCATGCTTCTTGCCATGCATTCCAAGTGCTCGCTGGAGGAAGCGGAAACGGTCCTGCTGATCGAGAGGTTCCAAGGGAAACACACGAGTTACTACGTGAAGAAACTCAAGGTCTTAACCGCTCGGGAAGTTGTGTCAGTAGTTTTCTTCCTCCGTGTGCGGTGGTGTGCGGACCCGACCGTTGACGAAGTCGTGATACTCATGATCGTTTCACGTTGCAGCAACAAACCATTCGACGGAGAATCTCTAATCGACCATGAGCCATGGGTGGAGAATTCGATCGCGGTGAAGGAGGATGACGGAGAGGGTCCGATGTTGTCTGTGCATCTTTTCGGGGGTCAATTTAAACGTAATAATTGAGCGCTCATCACTGGTGAAAGCCATTCTTCTCTCGTTGTCGTCATCTCTCAGGATCTCGTAGGATTTCGGAACGAGTGAGAAATTAATGAGAAAAAGTCTTTACTCTTCTTTTCAGAGGTGCCATCCATTATCGTTTTCAACTGCAAGAAGCTCACCTACGTCTGGGACCCGGAGAGATCGGAATTCCTGAAGCTGCGCGGCCTCGATGTCGACGTTCTGACGTCGTCGTTACATCAGATGCAAGGTCTCAGTTCCCAGGAACAGTACATGAGGTGAGACGTAGTCGAGGCTGGTTCGCGTCACCTCTGCCCCTTAACGGGCCTCTTGACTGTGCGCGCGTTAGGCGTCACGAGACACGCCTAACGATTATACGCGCAAGTCGACAAGTGCTAGTACGAACTAATCGAGCGACTCACATCGGCAGGCGCAGCGTTTACGGCAACAACGAGATCGTGATTCCCGTGAAGAGCATATGCACGCTGCTCTGTCTCGAAGTGCTTAATCCGTTCTATGTCTTCCAATTGTTCAGCTTCTGTCTGTGGATCGCGGACGATTATTACTACTATGCTGTAGTCATCCTCATAATGTCGAGCGCCGGCGTCATAATGGCAGTCTTCCAGACGCGACGCGTGAGTCACCTCGTCAATCTCTCTTCACTTCTCTCGCTCGTTTCCCTTTCCCCACGTATTTACCCACGTACCCACGTACCCACGATCGTCTTCGCAGAATCAGCAAAATTTGCGATCGACGGTATACTCGTCCGACGTCGCCACGGTTATGAGGGATCGAGTGACCGGTCAGACCGAGACGGTGCCTGCGGAACGTCTGGTGCCCGGTGACGTCCTGGTCATCCCATCTCATGGGTGCCTAATGCCGTGCGACGCTGTGTTGCTGACCGGCAACTGCATCATCAACGAGTCCATGTTGACGGGCGAGTCAGTGCCCATCACGAAGACGCCAGTTCCTTCCTCCAACGATATAATATACAATGCCAAAGAACATGCCAGACACACACTTTTCTGCGGCACTAGAGTCATTCAAACGAGATATTACGGGAGCGAGAAGGTAAGATCGTCTTAAGGTCCATCTTAAAGTTAAGACTTTGAGACTCCAACGTCCTTGAACGTCCTTTATCATGAACTCCGGCGTCTCTCTCTTTTGACCCGTGACCGTCGTTTGCTCGCAACAATTTCAGGTGTTGGCGTTGGTTATCAGAACCGGCTTCAACACCAGCAAAGGCGGCCTGGTGAGATCCATCATGTATCCCCCACCAGTCGATTTCAAGTTTGAGCGGGATTCCTACAAGTTTGTCATGATGTTGGGATGCATAGCTGGCATAGGTGTCATTTGCACCATCGTGACCAAAGTGATGAGACACATACCGTCTAGCCATATCGCTTTGGAAGCGTTGGATCTTATCACCATCGTGGTGCCCCCTGCATTGCCGGCTGCAATGACCGTCGGACGTCTCGTGGCGCAACGTAGATTAGAAAAGAAGAAGATATACTGCACGAGTCCCAGGACCATCAACGTGTCGGGCTCCATCGATTGCATTTGCTTCGATAAGACTGGAACGCTCACCGAGGACGGTCTGGATATGTGGGGTGTGGTGACGGTTTCGGACAGGAAATTCCAGTTGCCGGTGAAAGATATCGCTAGCTTGCCGCTATCGGAGGCTCTCATCGGGATGGTTACGTGCCATGGAATTACTATAATCGATAACCAACTGGCGGGGGATCCTCTTGATCTGAAGATGTTCGAATCGACTGGCTGGACGCTGGAAGAACCCGATGTATCCGACACGTCCAAGTTTTCGATGCTTTTTCCAACTATCGTCAGACCGGCGAAGGATTCCAAGTTGCTGAAGAAACTGCCCAACGATTTATGCGAGACGCTCAGTCGACAAAACTCCATGTCTTCCGACGTGGTCGACGGTATATCCCTGAACAACCTCGACGCTGCTTTCGTCGGTTCCGCCACGGAGCTGGGCGAGCAAGGATTGGAGGTGGGCATTGTGCGGCAGTTTCCCTTCACGTCGACCCTCCAGAGAATGAGCGTGATCACCAGGACATTGGGGGCGAATCACTACGACCTCTACTGCAAGGGCAGCCCGGAAATGATCCTCAGCCTTTCCAAAGCAGAGTCCGGTAAGTCCTCGAAATCCACGATCTCGCGACGCGAGATTTAGGATCTGAGGAGTTTTTTTTTCCATCGGTACGAATAACATACACCCTCTTCTTCTTCTTCTTCTTCTTTTCTCGCAGTTCCTCCAGATTTCGCGGCAGTTCTACAAGAGTACACGTCCGAGGGTTACCGAGTGATCGCTCTCGCGCATAAATCCTTGAATCGTCTTCCATACGCCAAGGTGCAACGCATAAATCGCGAGGCTGCCGAGATCGACTTAACCTTCCTGGGATTTGTAGTGATGGAGAACCGACTGAAGGCCGAAACCTCGCCGGTAATCGGAGCGTTGAATGCTGCTTGTATCAAGACGGTAATGGTGACGGGCGACAATATGCTGACCGCCCTCTCAGTAGCTAGGGACTGCAATATCGTGAAGCCGGGCACACCGGTGGTCGTGGTCTCGACGAACCAATACAATCAGCTGAAGCCGCAGATTTACTTTACGAAAAGCGACAGCCAGCCGTCGCCTACCTCGCCGAACGGCCAGCCCGACCTCAGCGAAATGACCGATCTCAACAGCGTGGTCAGTTTGGAAACCGTCGAAAGCGGCTCTTTCGCCAACACCAAGCTGGAGAACGACATCGACTACCTCTCGAACGAGTAAGTGTTCTGCTCTGCTCTTCTGCGAATGTGTCGTGACATTTATCTTCACTTCAATCGCATTGAGGCCCAAATATATATATATATATATATATATATATATATAAATAAATTATCGATAAATTTTTCCACCATTTTTCCACGTCACAGCGTACAATATTCCAAGAACAAGTACGTGTTTGCGCTGACGGGGAAGACGTGGGCAACAGTGAAGCAGCACTATCCGGAACTGATAGCCAAGTTAGTCACCCGCGGCGCGATTTTCGCGAGAATGTCACCTGACCAGAAGCAGCAGTTGGTTCAGGAGCTGCAGGCGTTGGGATATTACGTCGGTAAGTGCGAAATCTCTTAAATGTCTCGCTTAAAGAACGAGGAAGAAGAGAGACGAGACGATCTTTGAAATTCTACGACGAGATCTAACGAGAGATCTAACGAGAGACACGCTTGCTCGGCAGCCATGGTGGGAGACGGTGCCAACGATTGCGGTGCGTTGAAGGCGGCACACACCGGGATCTCCTTGTCGGATACGGAATCTTCCGTCGCGTCACCCTTCACCAGTCGCGAGACCAACATCTCCTGCGTGTTGACGGTAATACGTCAAGGTCGGGCCGCGCTAGTCACGTCTTTCGGCATCTTCAAGTACATGGCCGGTTACTCGCTCACGCAGTTCATCTCGGTGATGAACCTCTACAGCATCGACTCCAATTTGACGGACGTGCAATTCTTGTACATCGATCTCTTCATCATCTCTATATTCGCCTTCTTCTTCGGCCGGACCGAGGCTTACGAGGGACCGCTGGTGAAGACACCGCCGCTCAACAGCCTCGTCAGCACGTCGCCGATAGTCAGCTTGGTCACGCAAATCGTCATAGTCGCTATCTTCCAGTACATGAGCTTCTGGCATCTGCAGCAGATGCCGTGGTTCGTCCCGTTCAACGCTACCGCGTTGGAGGATAAGGACGACGTAGGCTGCCTGGAGAATTACACGATCTTCATCGTCAGCTCCATGCAGTACATCATCTTGGCTGTGGTGTTCTCGAAAGGACCGCCCTACAGGAAGTCGCTCTTCACCAACTACGGTCTGCTCACCTCCTTCGTGTGCCTCAGTCTCTTCTCTGTCTATCTCGCGGTGTGTCCCTTCGACTGGCTGGCCAAATGGTTCGAGCTCGTAACGCCCAGAGATCTGGTCTTCCGCTTCTTCATGGTCGGCTACGGTATGGTGAACTTTATGATCGCGCTGTTGGTCGAGCGCTTCTTCATCGAGTACCTCGTCTTCGGCAAGCTGCGCTACCGTTGGCACGACGTGGACAAGTCCCGGCGAAAATTTCTGGCGATCGATCGCGACATGGCGAACGACCTCAAGTGGCCGCCGATCTCGCAGGAGCCACTACCGGAGATCGCACCCAACGTGCCGATCCGCCAGAACGTCACCGAGATCAAGATCGAGAAGAGGATCGCCGAGCCGTGCCACCCCGCCGACACCAGTTTCATGAACAGCTCGCCCGTTTGCGCCGGCTTCAAGCACTTTGGCTCCGCCCGCGAGGTCACCCTGAATCCCAGATCCCTCTTTGACCACTGCCGCAACACGGTATCGATGCAGACGGTGCCGTGCTTCGAGGACACGGACTCGTCCGTGCAGCCGAAGCAGTCGAACGAGGAGCCCGCGTCGTCGAAGCGATGGCACAATTCGGAATCGGAGAATGGCATCAATCGTTACGAGAAGCCCTACATGAACCAACACAACACCAATCCCATCGCCACGCTACCGCGGAACCCGAACGCGACTCTCCAGCCGCAGAAACTTCAGAGGGACTTTAAGGATGTTCTGGTGCACAAAAGCGACGATCAAGTGTCGCCCGGCAATACTCACAGCGTGCTCGAATTAGACATTCTGCCGTCCTGAGGATTGAGATATTCGAAGGACCGCTCGAACGGTAGCTGAACGGCCTTGCACGAAGAACGCCGATGAATTCGGAGTATTATTAGAGAGATTATTTGGAATCTCTCGCGTTCAACCGTTCGGACCGTCGCGACTGCGGAACGTCGGAGTGACGATTAATAAAGATTTCGCAAGAAACTCGCTGGTAAATTCCGACTTGATTACTCGCGGACACCCAGACGTTGTAATCTCGATCATCCCCCCCCTATTTGTGATATCCAGGTTCACGATGTATTTCGTTCGATCGACGTTTTAGTTTTATCGTTGTAAAGAGCCAACTGATCGTACCGCGTCGTCGATCGGACGATGCATTCGAGTCGATGCATTTAGCCTGTCCGTCTGGTCGGTGGTCGGCTAATTTCGACCATTCATTCAAGTCAGGATTGGGAAGTAACGCGCGTTACACTTGTTATCGTTTAACAAATTACCTTCGTCGAGTAACGAGGAAAATATTGTGTGCGTGTGTGCGTGTGTGTGTATGTGTTTCTTTCTTTTTTATTAACAGCGGGAACGTTAACGCAATTACATTTCGAGCAACGCGAAAACGGGAAAACGGCAGCTTTCGTCGTTATTTCATTTCACAGAGTGCGAGACAATTCTGGACTAACGATAGCGGTAACACTCGTCACTTTTCGGTGATGAAAAACAAAACTTTCCCAACCACATTTCGCGTTATATAAATGATGTAAGATAACAAGAATAAGCCGAACCGTAGGACTAAATTAAAGATTTACCGGTAGAAAGTAGCTCTCACGTGTCGCTCTCACGTGTCCTTCCACGCTTGGAAGGAGTTAATGTTTCGTAAATTAGACATTAATCAATTTCGCAGCCGGTCAGCCGTTCGGCTTATTTTTTAACCACTGACTCAAGCCACGATCCTCCTTCGTCCTCGTTCTCCTTCTCCTCGGGGCCCTCGTTGGTATTTATCAAAAGCGATATACGCTCGAGAGAAAGTATTATTGTTATTTATCTCTTAAGCACTCGTACTTCCGTACGATCCATAATTCGCGACACGAGGACATTTTCCCCTCCCCCCTCCCCCCCCCTCTCCCTGCCCCTCACGTGATACGCCAGGCGCTGTGCAATACAGAAAATCTCTTCGGATGTTCACTCGATTCTGCCGTGAATTACGGATCGTCCGGAATGGATCTTACAATTGCAGACGAGAACAACGGCACATTTTTACACGAGCTCTCCGCCGTGAGAGAGAGAGAGAGAGAGAGAGAGAGAGAGAGAGAGAGAGAATCTTTCGGATGGAGCGCGGCGCGAATTGTGTCTCAATAATATACATAGATGTATCAATCTTCATGTAGACGTTGTCACATGTGAAGCTAGAGCGGAAGGAGAGGGAGAGAGTTTGCACGTCTTTTCTTCTCACTGCGGTCTTCGAACAATACTTAAACAAACTCGCGCGTGTCCCTCGTTCTCACCTCCCACATTATTTATTCAATCAGAGCAATATTGACATCAACTTTTCTCCCCTTCTTTCTCTTTTTCTGCTCAGGCCGTTACTCATCGGGCATTTTTAACTTTGTTTATGCATCCATGTCCTTGCCCTTCGCTGCGTCCTGAGCCCTGAGTTTTATTCGCGTTCATTCGAGCAACAAGATAGCGGCGATAGCAGCAATTGACTGGTCGCGGTCGTCTCCGCTACCGCTTCGTCTCGAGGATTATTCTGCTAGAAATAGAAATTATTGAATTATCGGATCAGAGGTGACATGACGATGCGAAGGAATCGGTGGCTGCTGAGGGAGAGGGAAAAGCGTATTACATATTGTATTTAACAATGTAATCTATATCCCGAGTACTCTTGGAAATGTTACAGTAAGATACGCGAGATGCGTATTGTTAAAAGTAATTATCGAGATGAACGTGTACTTACAGAATGTATGCAACGCAAATAGATACTTAACGGCGTCGCGATCTATTCGCGATGCTATAGCTTATGTTGAGAAGTAGCGGTTGTCAAATAAAACATGTTTTTAATGTAAACATTACTGGCTCACTTCGCCGTCGTTCTCCTCGTTGTGTAACAAATTAATAATATAATCGGTATTAAGCCCTCGCGCTGTGATTTAAGTCACGCAACAGCACGTGCCACCAAAGTCGGTGATAAAGTTGCACACATCTGCAATGCCCGGTCTACATAAATCGCAAGTCACAGAAGGCAAATCGCAGACGCAGAACATTGACGAGAACACGTAAAAATTGAACCGCGAGTCTTACTTGTCTCCTCCCTCCTGTGACTCCTATGTCTGGCCCGCAAAACAAACGATGACGATCTTACTCGTGTTTCTTATATTTGGTCCGATATACGATATACGATATACGTGTCACGAGCCTAACTCATGTTTCCAATGCGAGCAATCACGTGTCTCACACACGATATCCCTTAAGGAAAACATTACTTTAAAATGTTCGAATTAACTTAAAGTCACTTGCAGTTGACTATAAATCACTGAGAGTTAACTATAAGTCATTTTTAAGTTGATTTAAACATTTAAAGTGATTTTTCCTAAGGGACAAGGGGTCAAAATGTGCGTGATTTCCCTTTCTGGGAGCGTTCAGTAATTATCGCACAATCTCCACGTGTAATCAATGCATCGCGATGCGTGTCACAAAATCGCTCGGAAAGTATTTCGATCGGAGCGCTAAACGCGTGCGCGAGACGGGGTCTCGCGGGGAGGAACACGATCGACGGTTGAAATTGGAAATGGAATTACATTTATTAAGCGCAGATCCATACGTGTGTCACACACGCTTAATTTACAATACAGCATTCACTTCGGTAAAATTATTACATCACACTTGCGACATTCGCGCGGTCGCGTCTCTCCCCCCCCCCCCACATGAAAATACTTATATAATAATCGTGTTACATTTAACAACATTACAATTTACAATAGGGAACGTCGTCTCTCTTTATATCCATCTCCGAAACGATATTAACGAAAATTCAATGTCACTCTTAACTCGTCGTCTCCCGTCGATTCTGCGTGGAATGAAAGTAGATTGCACCTAAGTATTTTTCTTACATTTCGCGTATGCATATATAAGAGTAAAAATGGCTATAACATCGTTAAGTATAGTCTCGAATGAAGCGCATCGCGCTCAAACTAGATTGTCGTATCAAAACTTCCCGCTGCGTCACATCGGTCATTCTTCAGGAGCGATCGCGGATCCTGAAGTCGTACTCCTCGGCACGAAGTATCCCCATGCTGGAGCTTTGTGTCATGCAAAGTCCGCGGCCCGTTTGCCGACGACCCCCGGCTGCTTCGCCCGGTGATCGACGCGCTACGAGTTTATGACATACGTGATCCAGTCGACGGTTTTGGCCACGCGATGATAGATCCCCGGTTGACCCGGTTGCGCGCAGGAATAACCGGCGGATACTATGCCGATCAAATACCACCGGCCGGTTTTCTCCAGCATCAACGGGCCGCCGCTGTCGCCCTGAAGAAGCGAAGAAGAAATGATTCACGCATCTATGATGCATGACGCGGGAGGAAAAGAGGGGAAGGCACGTAGAGACGAGACGAGCGATTCATCGTTCAAACAATACGCGCCCCCCTCCCCCCCCCCCAATCGTGACGAAACGCTTACCTGACACGAGTCCTTACCGCCGCCGCGGTAACCGGCGCACATCATCTCGTCGTAAATGACAACGTTGATGCCGTTGGAGCGATGCCACCTTTCGCAGACGCGATTATCGATCACGGGCACGTCCACCGCCTGCAGCGTCTTGGGTCGCAGTCTGGAGCCTGAATAACATTTCGGAACAATTCGCGATAGTGCGGACAGAGCTGTGCGGAGAGTGAGAAGGTAGGAGTCATTGAAGAAAATTTCCTCGATTTGAAGGCGGAGAAGGGGAAAGAGAAATCCGGTTGTATAAATCAATCTTTTATTTATCTCTCCCTTCTGTCGTTGGTCTCGTATCTCAGGAAATGCTTCTACAATTACATCGAGATTTTATTTCGCCACAGGGAGAAAAATCCGAAGAATCATCTCGAGTCCGATATCCGATGGACGAGAAAAAGAAATGAAACACGAGCCGTTTTCACTGATAAAGCTTTCCGCATGAACACGGCGGAATTACCTGCTTGCAAAGCGCCCCAGCCCGCGGCCCAGCCGTATTGACCCAGGAAATCTTCGTTCTTCTCCGGTAGACAAATCGGCGCTATATGGGGCATGTAATGAACCGGTCGGTCCAATCGAAGCACAGCCACGTCGAACCTGGTCGAAACGATCGGCCCGGTTGAGAAAGACAGCCCATTTCTTCGGGACATATTTGAGGAATTCTCGGGAAAACGGAGCGGAGTATACAAAGTAAACGCACCTATCCGCCTGCGGCGTGAACTTGAAGTACGGGTGAACTCTAATCTCCCGAACACCGAAAGTGTAGGCTGGCAGAGACTCGCTGGCAGAGTTGACCACGTAATCGCCCAGAGTCACCTGGACTTGCCGCGCCGACGCTCTAAGCGTTTCGCTGATTTTAATATTTCAATCCGTAGTAAAAATCGGTACGCTGAAATATACTTCCAATATATATCACTCACTTTGCGACGCAGTGGCCAGCGGTGACTACGTGGAACCGATTGACCAGGGTGCCGCCGCATCTGCTGGATCCGATACGTATGTATGCCTGTCGAGGGGAAGAAAAACAAGGAATTTTAATAGCGACTTTTCGAAGCCTGATTGATGATTCTTGCGTGTGTGTGTGTGTGTGTGTGATCGCGTCGTGCCTGACCTGCCACGGGAAACTACCGAAACCGGCGTCGTCGCCGCCAACGATCCTCCTCTGCGCGGTTTGTTTCGAGACGGGTATGCCGCAACCTGGAAAACGCAATTATCTGGATTCGCGAGCAGTTTTAAGGCGACGTCGTTGTAATTAGCGCGACTCAGTAGCGGGCCCAATTACTCGACGCGACGAACTGTGCGCTAGGATTGCCAAATGTTGCTTTTCGAAATACGACGACACAGGAATCGAGTGAATTAATTCGAGGAGAGGATTGCGTTTCATTTTGTCATTTCGCGGAACATCCGGATGATGGGAAAGAGGTAGGATGGGAGAGAGGTATGATGATGATGATGATGATCGAGGTAACGAGATAGGTCTCATCTCGTAGATCATTCACAGGGCGTTTGCGTTTGCGAGGAATAAAAGACCAAAGGATAAATATCGAATCCTTCCGTATGCGCGGGACATCCGGCAATTCTGGCCGTGCCGCAACCTACTGATTACAATAAAACGCGCGGTAGCGGTTTCATTACGATCGACGCCTTCAGTGTCGAATCGCGCGTTCCGGCTCTTGAGTCGAGAGTGTGAAGTAATCGATAGCGAGAGAAAAAGAAAAAAGAGTGTTTCTTCCCGCTGTTACATCGCCGAAATTGGACTTGGAGTAATGCGGTGACTCGGGCGTTAATAGCGCTCCTTCCGTCCGATTTCGTTGCCTCGCCTCGCGGTTCGTACTTTGCGTGTAATAATGTAATTACGATGATATCCTATTGAGTAACTTTGAGCGTTGCGTCGACCCTGCTCATGTTCTCGAGTAATATTGCCCGACAGATAAAATATGAAAAAAATAACGTATACCGCGTGTATTTGTGACGAGAGATTTCGAGGAGAGGAGAAACCGAGCACACATAAGTTAGTAATAAGTGTAAAAGCGCGAGTAGTAGTCGAAAACGACGATGTCCTTGGCAATCGTTGTCTCGTGACGACACGAGTTACCGATTTTGCACAATCCATGCCATGCAGCACTGTTTATTGGAAATAATACGAGAAGAGCGAGGATTCTTCGAATCTTTGTTAATCCGCTTCGCTAACTCTTCGTCAACTGAAATCTTTGCTGAGACGCGTTTCAGGATTGCGCTTACGACTCCGAAAACCCAGAGAGATGAAAAAGTTTAGGATTTTCCTTAGGTGATTACCTCTAGGTGAGATCGATCGGACGTGTCCAAGAGACGTCGTTCGTCTTTGGTCGACTGCATCGTTTTGGCAAAAAATCCACGCGCTTATTAGTGCGTTGCTAGATACAGAGTAGGAGTGTTCTCGCGCGAAAACGGGCATACGGCTGTTGTCGCGCGAATACAGCGAAGCGTTTTACCGTGTCGATCATGAGAAAGAGGCGGGCAGTGCGGATCGCCAAAGTTTTACGAGCCGATGTTTCCGCAGAAAAACACGTTTCACCATCGGGGAAATTTAATCCATGGGTGACGGCAATCGTTACATCTACCATCCATGCGCTCGTTGCGCTTTTTCTTTTTTAACGCCATCCTCTCATCAGACTTTTCGTTCTAGTAGACTTTTACTCGTCCTAGTGCTGTTTCTCTTCACGTAGATTCCTGTGTGATTTCAACTGGTCCGTTTTCACATCGCGACGAGAAGCAGAGACAGAGAGAGAGAGAGAGAGAGAGAGAGAGAGAGAGAGAGAGGGATCGAAATCGACGAAACTGACATTTGCAGTCATTAACGGGGACTTAAGCAGATATTAGGGGGGCACAAACATGCCGCTCCGATATCGGAAAACCAATCTCCGGGCAAACATGCACGGGAAGACAAGAGGCATTGGTGATGCATGCGTGAATTGTACATTTCACACGTGACACAGTTTGGGAGTAGAGAAGAGTGAAGAAACGCACACGAGGAAAAATATACTCGAGAGATGGGGAGAAAGCTGTATCACTGAGGAAGAAGAGAAAGAAGTCGGGACGATGAGTGGAATCTATCCAGCGAGAGGGAAGCGTGCACTCTCTTGGGACAGAAAAAGGAGGAATGGAAGGAAACGGTGATACATGTTCGGTGCGCATGCGAGTGCGCTTGGGTCGTAACGCAGTTGACGATGAGGAGCGGAGAGAGTGAAAGAGAGAGAGAGAGAGAGAGAGAGAGAGAGAGAGAGAGAGAGAGAGAGAGAGAGAGACTAGGAAAGAACTCATGCTTGCGGTGTGCTCGCGAGTGTGTGCAATGTGCTACGGAGGGCATGCGTTTTCGAAGGAAGGACTTACGATCGTCGCTGGCGGTCCCCGTGTACAAATCCAGCGGAAGCGGCCGAGATTGATCTCTAGGCGACTCGATCAGGTTATAATCAGTGAGAGCTTTAGGGTCTTTCCGCTGACAACACGCGAACATAATGCCGCCGCAGCTGCCGTCCAATAGGCCAGCAGACATCCAGCACATTAGAAAAAATTCGCAGCTCCGTCCATCCGCGCACAATGTATCGTCGCCTTTCCACAGCGGCCTTTTTTCTTGGCGCGTCTCTGCAGAAAATACGGAAACTTGTCTTTCTCGCCTGCTGCCTCTCGCGGCTGCCGGGAGGAATTTACGAGGCGCGGTCTAGCCGGAGAAGGAAGAAGAAGAAGTCTGAGAAGCCCGCGGAGAGCATGCCGAAGGAGCTTGTCGCGTTGCGATTGTTAAGCGAGCTTCAAAATACTGCTTCAAAATTTACTGTTCGTCATTCAGTCGCAAAAGTCGAGGAAGCTCGAGGGGGCTCGAGCGCACGGAAAAAAATTGCGAATTCTCAATAAAGCAACTCCTCGCACACTCGTGGCGGCTGCTGCTGCGTGTTACACATCCGTCGTAGCGTCGCACGTACGATTCCGATGTATCTCTCACTGCCAGTCTGAAAAATCGTCTGCCCAAGGAGCACTCTGTCCGACCGATCCTCTTTCTTCCGGCACTCTTGATTATTGTTACGGTCATACGATCAGTACGATCGCGCGATCGGTAGCTGCGCGTACGAATTCTCAAAGCCGTCGCGCTTACTTCGCCGATTACTCCAAGTCGAATTTCGCAGTACGAAACGACCGCTTCAAGCTCCGGTGCGATCGCAGAAAAGCGAAAAGATACTCAAGCTGCGTGCTGCAGCTTTGCGAAATTGGCGTACTTTTTACTCGAGCTGTGAGAATAAACTGCACAGATCCGGAGGAGACGCAGCGTCCTGACGGACAGATTCGCACAGTCGAGAATACCCAACGGAGATAGAACACGTACTTCTATTTTCTACCAATGTGTGATCTGCCAGCGTTTCTACGCTACCAACGCGAAAGTGAGAAATTCAGCCAAACTCAATCTCGCCGTCTGAATCCATCGCTGTGGAATAGTAAAATGCTCGGGCTTGCGGCGACCCGAGGTCGCACGCGGCCAGAGCGACAGACAGACGCGCGGAGGGATCACGGAGGATCAGAGAGCGGCCTTGGTGAAAACCGATCATGATAGGAATGTCCGCGCAGCAATGAGTGCGATGAATAGAAAAAGCATTGTCGACCAGCCGCCGATAATGCCGAGTGATCGTTTCTCCCCGTCGCGACGGCGCGACGGGGGTTCTCCCGACACGGTTCCGCAGAGGGCCGACGGTTTGGGCAATCGTAAAAAGGACTCGTACCAGCCCGGCATGACGACGACTCGCCGCGGCCGGCGGTAAAGCGCGACGTCGACGATGTCGTAAGAATTTCCGCGTCTCGGGCCTCGAAACGGAAACTGTCGAATGTAGCGGAAATAAGTTTCGCGTGCCGTGACCATTAAAGCCGCGCTGTGAAGCGGGAGGGATTGCGCGACCGACCGTCCGATTTTTTTCTCGGGTTTACCCCCCGAGAGAAGAGACGAGAAAGGTCTGAGAGCGGGGGAGCGATTAAGTAAAGTGGCCGAGAACCGTATAAGAATCGCGGTAAACATCGGAAGCCCCGTCTGAAGCAACGTCGTTAGCTTATTGATCCTCTCGCCGCGCGACGCTCCACGTACCTGTTTCCAATCTGGGATAATCCTCGGGCGTCTGCTTCCGATGATCTGAAATAAAGACAAGCTGTTCGTCCGGGAGAAAGATGGAATTATTAATCGTAAGCCGCGGTGAGACGATTGTTTCCTCCGGGGCTTTGTCGTTGCGGGTGAAAAACATACTTCCGACTCGAATTAAAATCACCAGAGACTGGAAAGGAACGTAAAGCATTGGATGAGGGTTAATTGGTTGGTCTGTTTTTCAGCAATTGCGGCTCGAGACTGCAGGGTATCCCCTGCCTTGTACTTTTCACGCGCATGCATGCGCTTTTATCGCGTAGAAGAAATGGCCGGTAGCCGTTTGAAGCTTGCCTCGCGACCGCAAGATCGGCATCAAGTATCTCACACTCTTATGAGCGCGAGTTATTTCACTCGATCGTGCCGAAGATATACGAGTCGGTTCGTTTGCTATTGAAATGCCTCGAAAGTTCTACATAACGCGTCATTTGCATTCACACACTTCTCTATGCGTCCAGCCGACGAAACGCTGTTTGTGTGCACGGCAAAGCGAGCGTTACGGCAGAAGCGATAACGGATTACGCGAGCTCGCACGTGTGTGAGAAACAAACTGAAGAAAGCGAGAGGGGAAACGCTTGGTCGAACGCTTTTTAAAAGAGCGAGCTGCGAGAAACTCAACCCGCGTCATCGTATTAAATGCAACGTGCCTGAGTGCGTTACAAGCACAGCCCGCTGCAGCCCGCAGAGTTTCCGCAAGATTACTATTTATCATTTGGGTCGCGAGTAATTTACAATGTCCGGGTAATCGCATGCAGAAGAATTGCCGAAATAATAAAGTCGAGAAGGAAGTCTGTATGGTTCACGCGAAGATGTTCTTCCTCGAAAGATTGTAGAGCAACAAGAATGGTAAGCTTCACCGACTGAAATTCAGTCGAGGAGAAAGAGAGATAGAGATCATGGTAAACGACGGATGCATCAGCGCGGGAGAGAATAAAAACGAAGAAGAGAAAGGAAGAGACTCTTACCTCGGACGTCATCCTCGAATTCTGGCAGCTGATTTGACTGCTGGAAGAAGGAGGCCGCGCCGCCCCCCACCGGCGGCAGGAAGTCGTTGTCGCGAAATATCAGTCGCGGGCTTCGATGGGCCATCACCGGTCTGTTGTAATCGGCGACGGGGCTCCTCCAGAGGGACTTGTGTTGCCTCCACGAGGGGAACTGGACCTGAGGTGCGAAGCGCGTGGTCGGGTGCGGCCCAAGGTTCCTGCCGAGCAGCGGGCCGCTGTCGAAGAGGTAAGAGGGCCCCGTGGGAAATCGCACGTACCTTCGCCGGCGAATCGTCGCCGTCCCGCTCGTGCGATTAGTCTCTTTCCTCAGGGCGTCGATGCTCGCGGAGGAGTCGGAGTTGCTCAAGCTCAGCTGGCTCTCGCTCGCCATGAGACTCGAGGAGACGGTAAGGAGGACGACCGCAGCGAGAAGCCAATGGCGCGGCCTCGATGCACCCATCGTATCGCTGTGAACAGAACACCAGCCGGTGTATACCTCTCTTATTAGATACTAACGCGAGCGACGGTCGAGCTTGTTTCCAAGCCGGAGGGAAAGAAGACACTCGCGCGACAATGCAAATGATTCCGGCGGCTTCATCGGAGAGAAAAGTGTGTAGGGAAGAAAGTGGAAAAATAGATAGATACTCTCGCGAGCCAGCGCGCGACGAGAGAGAGAGAGAGAGAGAGAGAGACGCGCACGTGCGAGAATCCGAGTCACCTCACCTTTCCACGCATGGCGATGTTGGGCCGATCTCGGACGATCTGTCACTTTACTCCCGCCGAGCCGGAGCGATTTTCTCCTCGAGTCGAGTTTCACGAGTCGTTAATCATCATCGAGCGCCATTCCCGGCGCGTGATTCCCGGCGAAAGAAAACGCGCGTCGCCCGGACTTGCAATCAGGTGGAATCCTCGAAGATTTTGCTTCGAATAGTCGAGGAATGCCTCTGCCTCTCTGCTTACAATTATCGGGTAGCGGGGCCTCGTGAGCGATCGCGGAGGAACTTTCTTTTGGCACGGTTCGTTCGCTGTTTCTTTACAGGAAGTTACGAGGTATGAAAGCGAATTGTACGGGGATATATTTTTAAAGCTGGAACTACAGTAAAACCTCTCTCTCTCTCTCTCTCTCTCTCTCTGTCTCTCTCTCTCTCTTTTCTCGAGCAGCATCCGATCGAGAGAGCTCGATGAATATTTAAAGTCATCCTCTTCGCGCTCTTCGAAGGTAAATTTATCGTGCAGCTTTCGTTTTCTTAGTTCGCGTTCACCCGCCTCGTGAATTGTCAACATCTTGTTGACCGACCCCGAAGTCGAAGTAACCGCAATCTCTTTGATATCCCAGTTCCACGCGACTCGGCTTGGGTGTAAACGAACGGCGAGATCCGCGACGCTAAGGTAACGCTCGGAGGCAAACGAAGCAAAGTGGAAAACAACTTCCTCGAGGCTCCCTGCCCCTCTCCAAGCGAGAATTCCTCTCGCGACGAAATCCAGTTTGCGTCACGATCCTCCGTAACGAGTGAAAGTAAAGAAGTTCACCCGGAACCGAACATCACGGCGTTTACACACGAGAGAAGATCCACCGTCTGGACCCGCGCGCAGCATTCGACGTAGGATGAAATTATTGTCCGATCAGCAACATCAGCGAGAGAAAACGCGACGAGAACGCTTAATAATGTTGCAGTCAATCCTCCCGCTCATTTGCACAGATCCGCGCGCGCGCGCGCGCGGTAATCGCGCGAGGATCTCGAGAAGACTGTCCGGATTTCCCAGCGCGTTTCCGTACAAGAATCCACTACGAATTGACGAGAAACCCACGGAATTCCGCCGCGGCGCGGCCAAATTCAGACGAGAAAAGCGAGAAAACGCGCATGTACGTACGATCGACGTTGACGTCGATCGTGTTACCTCGCTCGTTCGGTCTAGTCGAGCGACTCTCGCGAGAGGCGTCGGGGCCGCCGCCGAAAGGAGAGAAAAAAGGAGGGAAGCGTATAATTGTTCGTTGGATAATCCCCCCGGTGGACGGCCTTGCCGGACCAACAATCGTGCGCGCCGCGGCGAGGTGAACGGTTCGATGTGTTAGTAGGTCATTGGCTCTCCGTCACGTGGATCCACCAGAAGTGAAAGTGCACTTCTTGCGTGCACGACAGTGTGAAGTTCACGTTCACGCAGCACCAGGCCGCCGCCGTCGCCGCCGCGGCGCGGCGCGGCGGCGGAAGTTACGAGTCGCTGCTCGCCGCTAAGCTCCCCAGCGTGCGCCGCCCCTGTCTTTATCCTCCCTATTATCCCCTTTGTCCTGTCGCATCGAGCGAACGTCGTCGTCGCGAAACATCACGCAAATGCATGCGAATCTGTTGCGCCGCGGAATTTCACCGTGAAAGTGTCCGATTACTATAACGCGCGGTCGCCCTTGTCCCGATCTTCATAATTCCGCTCGATCGCGACTCACGACATCCTCTCCGTTTCTCCCCTCGCCTACGCCAGCTACCGCCAGCTGTGTGCGAAACGCTGTAATTCACTTTTACGTTTGCAAACCGACCGACCGTGCCTGCGATGCTCCCATGAAGCAAGTTACGAGTGCGTTGAACTGCGGAAATGAATGACAATGTGTTGCACACATGACTGTCTGGGCTAATCTTTGATATATCGTCTCAGCCAGCGAGGCGTCACTCGTTCGATTTTTTCATCGCTCTTACGACGAAACAGACTTTCCAAGATGACGTCAAATACCGACGTCAAATACCGACATATCCCGGCGACGTCACTGGTATCGCTGTACCGCGAAAAGACGTCATTAATTTCTCAGTCTATTAATATTATCGTACAACGTTGACGAAACAATACCGTTGATGCCGCTTCGCACAAGACGCTGTCGACGAAAGGCCGTCAGCTTTGTGACCGACATTTTGACATCATCAAATAGATATGTCTCCTGTTGCAGTCCTCCGGTGACAGTCGAATTTTATCGTTCAGCCTGCTGCTTTCGACAATTAATTAATTTAAAATATTAAAGGGAAATTCATGTCGGCGAGAAACTCGGCGGAGGAAACGCGCTACACCGCGAAGACGAGCGCATAGTCGAGCGATCACCCGCTGGAGCGAGCAGCACCCGCTGGAAGATGTGCACGCACAGTTCGCGCATACGTTCCCAGCTGTCAGTGAAAGCAACGCACGCACTCACGCATGTACGCACGTGCAGGCACCCACATAGATAGATCGGCTGGCGTATCCTTCTCCTCGCTCGGTGATCCGCGAGCCCGCGATATCCGAGTCCGCGAGCGGGGCTTCGGATTCCGCGTTTTCGCATCGACATTAAGAAACGCCGCCGTCGCAGGAGCCATCACTTTCTCCATGGCGATGCGGCGACGCGCGCTCGCGCCATTACTTTCGCCCAAATCGAAGGACAATCGTCCTCTTCTCGCGCGTTCCGCGCTGCCAGAGGATCAGCCGCGATTTTCCTTCGGATCGCATCGCGCCGACAGCTAATACATAACAATGAAAGCAGCGTCGCGGTACGTCACACGTGGAAAAAGTTCCACGCGCCATTGAGCCACGACGATCCGGCGATGATACACGATGTGAAGCGCGTGCGCCCGGAATTATATAATGAAAAGAAATTAAATAATGCCTTCAAACGTATAATTGAAGACTGGTAAGAGCCAACGTCACGTTCTGACTTGATTTTTATAACATTATACATGCGATTGCATATCTTGAGAGCGTGTGTATATATATATATATATATATATATATAATCTATTGTTAAATGATACGTGTTGAAGGCGCTCGTCCCGCTCACGCATTCATTGAGAGAACGTGGCTAATTTGCCGTGTAACGTGCGCGTAATGATAACTCCTAGGATTTCTCGAGCGCGTCAACTGCTACATTTTCAAACTGTTATTGTTATAAGCTTCTTCAGCATAAATATCCCGCCATCGCCCACATTATCTGCTCGTCACGTCACGTGGCCGGTGTTCCCTCTTAATAACGCGGACATAACGTCGCCGCGGCAATTTGTAATTGCTCGACATGCTCGGAATTAATCTGTCGCCGACTGTCACGTCGGCTGACGTCGACGTTGCTTTCGAGCGACTAGGAGCGGTATAGGCGCCCCCCCGACGTTACACGCCCACTTACATGGTCGCTTAAAAGCCGCCTCGGCCTCGGCGTTTCGAAAACTCACCCGCGCTTCCTTTCGGAAGATATAATAGAAACCGGTTTCTTCTCCGAAGAAATCTCGCGCGCGTCGCGCAGCCATGCTGCTCTTATTCACGGCCTTGAAAAGAGTAGGCGTTTTCTCGGTCTAATTCACCGATATCTTTCGTGACGAACACTTTCCATTGTGTAACGAATCTTCTCACCCTGGCCACTTGGTTTCTGTGTCGTTCTCAGGCCCGAGATGCGGTCGCCCCTCGACCGGCGATCGGAACTCGCCTTTTGCGCCGACGGAAACGTCCCCATCGGCGGTCGATTTACCTCGCGAGGGAATTTCTCGATTCCACGCGGAAACCTCACGCGCGACTCTATCCGTTCGATTGACGCGAGTTAAAAGGCTGCTCGTCCAGCGATGGGCACTCCTCCTCCTCCTCCTCCTCCTCCACCTCCTCCTCCTCCTCCTCCTCCAGTCAACGTTTCTCCTGAGACCTCTATCGAATTCCATTACGTAAACGCGCAAGGAGTGTTTGGGCAACGCGCACAATGGTACCGAAGCGTGCATCCTCAATGCGACGCTCTCGCGAGCGCTTCGTTTTGAGAAAGAACGGAAGTACTTTCACTGCCTACGAGGACAGAAACTTAAAAAAACCTGCAGGCTCGAGGCAACACGGCGCCACGTGACGCGACGAGCTGCCCGCGCGTTAAGCCGGCGATCACACGTCTCTTGCGAAACCGCGTCTTCCTTCCGAAATTAGCGGGAACTTTCTTCTCGTTCGAGATTAAAAAATACATTACTTTCGAGTCCGCCCGAAACGTTCTTCTTCTTCTTCTTCTTCTTTTTTTCTTTTCTTTCTTCGCCTTTCACTCGTCGCGTAAAATTTGTTGCGAGTTGTACAATTGTTCCGTAAAGTAAGAGTCTCAGTGAAACTGTCTCGCACGCATGTATCTCGTAGTCGTGTCGAATCTCTGCACGAGAGAGAGAGAGAGAGAGAGAGAGAGAGAGAGAGAGAGAAAACGCGTATCGCCTTTTACCGGCGTTTATAGCGATTTCAAATCGTGCAATCGTTGAATTATTTGTAATTCGATCATTATTACCGACGATTGCCAATCATCTGACATGTGATATCGAGTGCTGCTTTTTACTCAAATATTTCTTTTCTTCTCATCGTCTTGTTGTGGAACGTTGCCATTACGCACGCGAATCTACACGCGAGACAGCACCAAGGCGACGCGGTTATTAAACTTAATTGATGTTGGGCGAACTTGGAATCCAGGTTGAGAACGAATGTGGCACCGATCACCTCCATGCATCAAAATCACCGCACGCACCGGCTTGCGTTTTTCGCTTAACACACTTTTTATACATAAGAGACGGCTGCGAGTAGCCTCTCTTTGGAAAGATAGGTGCTCTCCACCGGGGCGATCTTGCTTTCTCCCAGCTTTTATAGTAACTGCCGCTTAATCGTACATTAAGCCTAACGAAACGAAACCGAACCACGTTCCGTTCCACGTGCCTTCAACCATCGCGTCGATAATCCCGATAAATAAATCGAATAAATTTGATCTGCTTTGGGAGATGCGAGATCCTCGTATGTGTGCGATTTATCGTACGTACGATCGACATCACAAGGAAGAACCGCGGGAGAAAGTCCCGAGGTTTTCGAAGCTGAGTGCTGATCGCTCTACGCAGATCGAGTTTTGTATTGTTAAGAAAAAAAGTCAGGCTGATTGCTTGAATCGAGAGAGATACATTTTTTTCAAAGCGCGCCGCGCTAAGTGGAATGGAATATCGATCGATAACGCCAGCCGTTGCTATTGCGATAATGAACCGTACGACGAGCCGATTATCCTAAACATACATTTTATTACGGAAATGCAACGATCGATCCTTTCTCTCAGCAGGTTGCTTTTCCTTCCGTTTTTAACGAGGAACGATATTCTTATTTTCTTCTCGTCTTGATAAAAAGGAACTTCGAGTATTGTACAATTAGACTTTAATCAATTTCACTTTCAACTTTAATCAATCTTACAACACCGAGAAAGCCGTTTTTCAAGATTATCATGAAGCAGTTGCCAGCAACTAGCGTAATATTTGCATACCACTTTTTCATGTTCGGTGTCGCTGTCGGTGTCTTGAAATTAAGAAATAAAAGATGAAGAAGAACAAGGTCCAGGCAAATTCTACATCTAGATGTAGAAAAGCAAATCGCACTCACCGACTCACCGGATCGAACCGGACCTGATCTTTCTGGATTTCTCCTCGATCGATTGAGCCAATAGGAGAACGATTTCTCAGGAGGATCCCGCCAGGATATTACTCCTGCCACCCTCTCTTCTGCGGCCTCTTCGTCTGACCGAAGTAGTCCTCAGCACCATAACACAACCGAGGGTACCGTTGCGACGAGCGCGTCTCAGTGTCAGCGCGAGATGAGTCTTCGTCCTCGATTCCCAATCTCAATTACGTCACGCGAAGCCGTGAACACTCGCGCGATTTACGTATCCCCAGCGTGCGAGTCCCGCTCCCTTCGTGAACTTACTTTGAAACCGTCAAACTGTCCGGAGCCGAGACAGTCGTCTTCGCGCGTTATCACGTCACGATAAGGTCTTATTGACCTATCGATAAGGTTCGGTAAATGAGCGAGGTCGCTTCTAATTGTCAAACAGGCTCGAGCTCGAGTTTCCACGGGCACCGGTCCGTGGACTCTTCAGCTTCGACCTTCCACCACCAATTGACCGTCACGATTACACACCTCTATTCCTCTCACTCTCACTGATTCGCGGACACGTGATCGACCGTGTCCTCCGCCGAAGATTCCCCGGACGAAGAGTAGATCGCAATTCTGGCGGTCCGACCTTTCCGACGTCCTCTCCGAAACAATTCCTCTTCGGATCTTCTTCGGACACACCACTACCGCTCGCGGTGTTCTATTCTACCCGAATGAAGCGAATCAGCGAGCACGCGGGGTCCGCACCGTGACGGGCTCACACCATGTCTATCTCCTCTCTTGGAGGAGCCCCGAAGAAGCACGCCTCTGCTCGTCGTGTGCTCAGTGTCCGACGTCGTACGTCTGCTCTCACTTTCTCCGCCGAGTAGTTTCATTTCGGTACGTAAAACTCTCTCGCGTGGCCCCCACTATGTTCGCCGCGCGCGAGGCGACAAGACCGCCGTCGCCGTCGCCGCCGCCGCCGCCGCCGCCGCCGCCGCCGCCGCCACCTCTCCACGCTCCGGATCAGAAGAAAACCAACCGGCGCCCGTCGTGGAGGACGCGATTGTCCTTCGGCGATTCAGGATGACTTTCCTCTTCTCCTTCTCCCTCTTCTTTTTATATCGCCCACGGCTTCAACGACCTTCCGTAACACTCGCGCCACTCGGTGGGGGGTCGCGCGAATCCAGGAAGAATATCCTGTCTCACTCGGGAGCTAAGTATAGCCTCTTCGATGATTGACGTCGCGAACGAATAATTTCGAGGTATCGTGCGTGTGCTGCAGTTCTAATCATTTGTCTGTCTGTCTGATTCCCCACATCTCTGCACATGCTTGTGCAGCTTATTATTATTGGTAGTATTATCGTAGACGTAGACACAAACGGAGGGCATTAGTCGTCAACACCTTGTTGAAATCCTGCGAATGACACGTATCCTTCGAGATTCATCCGCGACTGCTGTTCCCCGAGGGGTGAACGACACCTTGATGTCGTCAAAATCCATGATGGACTGCTACTGCCTAATCTCTCGCCGCATTGTTCTTTTGTCTCCAAATGGCTTCCACGGAATACGGCGAGGTATACCTAATTTCGTTGACACTCTAGAAAGTGTCTCGCGCGCCCAACACATCTCCGTTTTGTTCAATCGAGGTGAGAGCTCACGCGCGTATTCCAAAAAACGCGGATGAAAGTGTACTACGACGTGCGTGCGACAATTTTCGCACGAGAGAGAATAATTCGCACCTGTCGCAATATCGCCTGTACGGCAAATGCAATGATAAAATTCTACCTGCGATCTGTTCACCGCGCACCGCGCCCATAGTCGCCCATTCAGATTCGCACAATGTTTCTCCACGCTTTGCTTGACTGCCGCAAACATTTAGGAAGTAATCTCAGACAATTAAGTGCAACCGAGCCTGTTCTGGGAATGAGCGCGAGCTATTGTTTTACCGAAAAAGAGCATGAAAGAAATGGGAGAAACCTTCCGTCTCGTCACATCCAGATTTCTTATCCGTCGTACGTACTTACGAAAATCGCTAATTAATAATCCGGCAATTGTCTCCTCGGGCTTTTAGAAAATTATATCTTTTTTATGTATATAAACAGAGGAAAAAGCGCGTGCGCGGCGGAACGCACACATTTTGGAATGTACGGGTGCTTTTCAGACCTGCAATTTGTTGCATCTCGACTGAACAGCTCTCTCTCTCTCTCTCTCTCTCTCTCTCTCGAGTTACTTGGCGCTAATATGTCGTATATATAACGCCAGGTATACGCTGATTTACAGCCGCTGGCTGGCTGTTTAAACTTCGAACTTCCGAACAAATTCTCGCCCGGTCATCAATCCGAGTCGTCAGGGGGAAAACGGCGTCGCTGTGACGTTTTATCCAGGACACTCTCGTTTTTTTGCGAATTTACGACGCCGACGCCGACGACGAGCACGGGCTTCAGGAAATCGTTCGGGCTGTGAATTATTATTTAAGCACCGGTGAAAGTCGGCGACACGCCGACCGAGGGTGATGGGACAATCGCGCGATGAAATTATTTTTTTCGGCGGCGCGTACGCAAAACTCGGACTCTGGCTTCGCGCCACTTTCCCACTCGGACTCGCGCGTCGACGACGCGTGCGTTCGCGTGCCAATCGATGAACGATCGGCGAGCCAGCCGCCCCTGATTGACTTTGAGATCAGCTAGCCGATTGCCGTAACATTCCTACGCGCTGATCGTGTAAATTACGCGAATCCGTCTCGCGGATCCGTCTCGATAATACGCGACGCCCAAGGACGACAGGTGACAGTGCGACAATTGACATTTTTTCTTTTTTTTTTTTTCTTTTTAACACGCCCGACAAGCTACGTCAATGATGAATAAAGAAAAAATCGATGCCGCTAATCGGTCTGATATTCGAGCGTAAAAATGTGAATGTGCTCCATGTGGGATGATTCACAAAGTCGCATGGCGCAATTTGCGGAATCCGTGTGATCCGGTTTCGAGCAAGCTGAGAGAGAGAGAGAGAGAGAGAGAGAGAGAGAGAGAGAGAGAAGACGCTGCTGTATAAGTCGCGAAATTATGACGTTTGCACGAACGGAAGGAAGGCTTCTGGCCTCTTAATAAAAATCGGCACGTGAACGAATCGCGAGGGTGCGGTATGACAGAAAAATAATGAATGCCGTGAACGTAAACGGTTACGCGCACCGTTTGTGTGTACAAATATTGAAAATTTATGCAGATCGTATTCTAGATGAAAACGAAAGTAGGCGACGCGCGTCCGAAACACGACGCAAACGCGTCATGCGCGACGCGTTATTAGCTCCTTTCTCCTCTTTGACATCTCCAAACACGGAATGTCAGAGTGTTAGTGTCTCATTATACCAACTATCTCTTTACGTAAAAGAGATGACCGTATGACCGCAGCGCATTTGCAAAGCAGCGCATTCACGTGAGAGAGTGATGAAGCGAATCATCAAGTTCTGATTATATTGTGCTGAGCGACGAACCTGATGATCCCCGAGCTGATTGAAAATTTCGTACGGCCGTCACTCGGAATCTCGCTGATTTTAGTGCTTTCTTTCTTTCTTTTAGACTACTTTCGACATACTTGATACTTAATTGATTAATCGTGCAGTCGTGCGATAAATGCGCAACGTTCTTCTCTCTGGAGCGCTCGCGCTCAATTCTCGTCGATGGAAGATCGACCGACTAACGAGACGGCTCTCATTAACAGTCACCACTTTGCTCGCTTCCATTAGAAAGAAAGATTGGCACGAAAAATGCGCTCAATTAAGATCGAAAGTGTTCGCGCCGGCGAGATCGTGTCATAGAGAGCGAGCGAGCGACTCGTCGTGAGTAAGAAGAATGTCGCGGTGCGAAAAATGCGCGCAAGGTGCGCGCAAAAACTGGGTCGAAACCGGGCAGGCAAAATCGCGAGATCACCGATGCTGCTCCTTTTATTCGTCTAGACGAGTCGCCTGGCACCCGCCTAGAGTCAACCAGGCGTAACTTTCTCCGTGAACTTCGAAAGTATCTCCAACAGGTCCCATCGCGTTTATCCGCCGAGCGCCGAGCGAGCGAGTGATCCAGCGAATTGTCCACTCCGCCGGAAGTCCAAGTTTCTTTTCTCTCTCCTGAAGATAACACTTTCTACGTCAGCTATTGTCCCGCGCTGATAACAGGCTTATCTGTTACTCTGTAACACGGTGTTCGGCACCTCATCGCACAATTTCTCGACATGGTATAATGGTATTTATTTCTTTGCGCTTCTTCACGTTCTCTCTTCCCGTTCTCTTTGCAAATTTATGTGATATTGCTTAGGCTGGACAAACTCATTAGTGCGAGCGGAATTTACCACCAACGCCGAGAAAAGTCGTCGCGTTCGTTGCACAATCGCCGGGTTGCAATTAGGCTGCTTGCGTCGCCGCAGTCTTTTGTCTACGCGAGACGCGCGCCTCCGCGACCATTGTGACGCGAATGGATAAATGCATGACAGTTGTCGGAGTGATATCAATCCGAGGAAAGTCGTAACGTCACGGAGGAAGAGTGCACGAAAGAGTGACGTCGCCCGCCGCGACGTCACGTCGCGTCGTCGCAATAAGCCGTGCCGCGATAAGCATGCTACGACGGTGATATCAATCTGAGAAAAGTCATAACTTCGTGAAGGAAGAGTGAGAGGAAAAGTGACGCTTTGCGCTCGACGTCACGTCTCGTCGTCGTCACTGCGACGACTGATATCGATGAACGTGGTATTTCCACGGAATAATACAATTGCGGTGACAGGAAGGAAGGAAGGAACGAATACAATCGTCACGCGACTTTCTGCCGAAATCGCGACTTGTTCAGCGAATAAATACGCGATCGTATTGTATCCATGCGTAAATACTTATGGCGTAATGCGAGGAGTGACGTTAATTAGAGCGGCGTAAATTGAGCAGCGCCTAATCTTCCCCGTAAAAGGAAAATATCGTGCGATATATCGTGTATGGGCTCGTTCTTGCTCCAATAATTTGCGAGGCTCGCGTTGCAGAGAATTACGAGCGATGAACCACCTGTCGGATCGTTTGTAAAACGTCGTGACATTCGCAGCGCTGAATGCTACAGCGATCGAACTTCAAGTCGGATCGATATTGCCAATTTACAATCACGAGCAATTCAAGTCGACGAAAGTCGATTTGATCGGGATAATCTGGTTGCAAATAATTAATTGTGACGAGGGAGAGAACAATGGTGTCCACGACGAGATGTCCACAGGTACCAAACGTGTGTGTTTGACCTGCGTAATTTACATATCGCCCTAATCTTTATATAATTCATTCTCTTAATTATGCAAATCTCTTTCAAATTAATTGCCGGATTCGTTTCAAGATGGATCGTATGAATTCAGCTCTTGAATTTTTATTATTATTCATTTGCTCTTCGCATATACCGTAATTGTGTGGTAATAGAGTAGAACGCGCGTCGCGCGTAATTTAATGCGAAGAGATTCTCGGTGGTGTAAGAAAGACGGGGAAAGAAGTATAAAGTTATAAAGCAGCTGCGATAGAATTCCATATGCGTTATTAGCAACATCGAGACTTCCTCTCGCGACCCATATAGATCGGCTCGGGTATACGCGTATGCGAGCGTGTTTATTCGCACGAGAGAGAGAGAGAGAGAGAAATGGGGGGTGGGGGTAGAGAGAGAGAGAGAGAGAGAGAGTATACGCAAGTATACATCTCTATGCGCGAAAGGGACTTTACTTTCTCAAGCACGCGACCGCCGTCACTCCATCGGCAGCTCCTCTTACTTTCTCTCGCGCGCGTTTTAAAAGTAGGTCCCAAATAGGATTAAGCGATCTTTGAAGAGCCACTCGATCCGCCGCTACTCGTGTTGCTCGCACCGCGAGTCGAACTACTGATCGCATTGATGAGAACAATTGTGATAATGACAATGGTGACGACGAGAGAGGAAGTTGCGGCGCGCGATAACGTATCGCTATATTCCGTCAAACGTCGTGTTGCAATATGCTGATATTGCGCTACAATATCTATATCGCGAGCTTTTTCCGGGGTGTTGTAATATAACACTTTTCTCACTTCGAACGGATAAGAGACTTCTTCTTGCGAAGGAAGGACTTACTCGCGTAACAAATTAACGCTTGCGTCCTAACGGTCGCGTCATTCGCGTTGGATTATCAATGAATTGCGGGAACCGGCCAAGCATCGCATTTTTCAACGATCGAACCTGTCGGTCTCGAGCTTTAATGCTCGGGGTAAGTGCAAAATTTGTCGTAGGAACATCAGCTCGCACGCATGTGTGTGTGTGTGTGTGTGTGTCTGTTCTCGAGAGTTAATAAATCGAACACAAAGTGTGCGCTGCTTATTGCACGGATTATCGGCTTTCTAATCGATAAGCGCGCGCATGAATCTCGGAGGAATAGCTCTTCTGCATCCGCTCCACTTACATCCTCACGGTATCACGGACGGTCAATTACCCTCGCAATGCATTCCATGATGCTGCGATTCATAAAATTACAAGCTCGCCCCGTCTTTGCCGCAGCGAAGCATTTCCTTTCGGTATCTCCGTGCGCGCGCGCGCGCGCGATTACACACCGGGGTGAAATATCTTTCATGTTCGTATTTTCTTTTCTTTTCTTCGTTACGCCGTGTTTGTTCCTCTTGTTGTACAGATCGTAGGTATCGCGAATGTACGATCGCATTCGATTATTGGTTTATTTGGCGCACAGGTATCTGTAGCATTGAAAATTATGCTAATTGCGTGCAGTGATTCGCGTGAATTTTATTGCGCTCGCATCCGACTGGCTCTATTAAACGCTAAATACTGTAATATACAATATATATATATATATTACAATTGCATGTTAATTCATGTGTACCGACACAAAATCGACGATGTAAAATTTTAATAGTGCAGTTTCAGAAATTTTTCCCGCTCGTCGCTTCTTACATATCGCGCTTATTAAATTCGCTTTCGTCAGCGAAAGTGAATTGGACACGACGACGTTTCTAATCGGACAATTTGCACCGGAGACCGTTTGTAATCTCGATGCTTCGTACTGTGAATGAAAATCTCGTAATGAAGAAATGAAAACAAAAGTGGGATTCCTCGTTGATTATAAATGAGAAACATCGGAGGAAAGATCGAAGAGTTTAATAATAAATTTATCAGCGAAAGTCGATCGTGAGTGACGAAAGAGTGGCTTTTTCGTTTGTTTATTTATGACGCTTTTACAATTTCTACAACAACCACGAGGTTACGATAATACAATTATTCATCATTTGTCTCTCACATTGCTTCCATTGACATTACACTCCGTCATTTCTGATTATTGCAAACAGGAATGAACATCGTGCTGATTAAAATGAATTATTATTCATTCGTTCCCGAGTGCAGCCCGATTTCCGCGCATCTCCATGACATTACTTGTAATATCATATTTATAATATTTGCTGTGTTTATAATAACAAGTATAATTATCAACAATCATCGATACTCGGTCAAGTCAGCGACTCTCTCATTATGGTCATTGGCCGCATCGCACTCTCTTATTCTTACCTCTGGCCATTTAAACCTCAGACTCTTCAATCTCAACACAGAGATGGCGCGACATACCGCCGAAGGGATGGGCCCAAGATTAAAAAGAATAGCGCATTCGAGTAAACTGCTGTAGTATCGTGACGGTGTCACGTGCTCAAGTGTGGTGTGCGTTTAGCAACGGGCTTGTCAAATCGTGAATGACCATGACGTAATACCCGCCACAAGACAATGAGAACAAAAGAGTCAAGCGCATGTTCGCGCGCGCGCGCGCTACCGTAGGTCTGTCTTTTATCGCTGAACCAGTGTACACTCAGGGTACACTCGGGGGACTTGAAAAGAAATAGATATACATGTAGGAGTTACATGTAGAAAGGGAGAGAAGAAGAGCAAACAAGTGCAAGTTAGCGCGCAGCCAGTTCAGCAGCGATAGAAAACAAACCTCGTGGCAGCAGCGGCGCATCAGCTATTCCGCGTGCATCGCTCGTTGCGGTTTAGCGCGATCCGTCGTGTGGACTTGGCAACGTGATCGGACATTTGACGGAATGAACGTACTAAATCGACTGCCGCGGCTCGCTCGTCTGAGCGCTCGTCATTGTCAGAATGTAAGTTACGATCGATGGAGCTAAACGTCACTTGTTTCCGCTCTGTAACCTGCCCACCAGCCTCGACGATTCTTCCTAACCTATAAGCGCGACATCGTAAACGGAATAATTCATACTTTTTAAGCGCGAACGTGCAATACGATACAATCTACGGGGGGATCAGTTACCACCAACAGACTCGACTTAATGAACTCTTGAAAGCTACCACCAAGAAGAAAAAATCACGTTTCGATGCTGTCACGGGTGCAATTTCATCCCGGTATATTTTTTTGTTATATGAAAATGAAAATGAAGGCAAAAACGAACCTGCAATTAAGCGTCTCATTATTATTGAAGCAGAAACAATCGACTGATTGTCACTCTACTTGGACACTTGAACTTGACGATGTGCTATCGTTTCCAGATCTCTCGTTTCTGCACAAAAAGCAAGGAACCGCCAATTCCAGTGAACCCGCTGAAGGAGGTATACAGTGCCAATCATCAGGTCGAGAACGGAATAATATACGACAAGAAACCATTCAAGATGCGTCTCGAAGCCGGCAAGATTTATTCATGGTGTCTCTGCGGCCGCAGCAGAGGCCAGCCGTTCTGTGACGCCACGCACAGAAACGTCTACCTCAAGATCAAGCAGAGACCCATACGCTTCACCGTCACCGAGACCAAGGAGTATTGGCTGTGTAATTGCAAGCAAACGTTAAACAGGCCCTTTTGCGATGGCACGCACAAGAGAGCCGACATTCAGGAGAAGAAAGTATAGGAAAGGTGAAACTTTCAAAGTAACACGATCAATATGTAAATTTTGAGCGTAAACATATATGAACTGAGGACTTGTCTCGTCGTCCGTCGTGCCGTTTGCCGAGATTTGTTACGATGTACATAGTATATTTTATATTTCGATAAAATATTGGAAATTTGTAACTTGACCGAACAAGATGAATTGTCAAACAGTAGATGAATTGTCAAACAGTTGTGAAAACGGCACATACTCGTACATATGTGAAAATAAATCAGAATGAGATTATGGGAAGATGGAACATATCGAGATTCATTTACGACATCTGTATCCTTCGTCCTGTAAGCTCATTCCGTAGCTTTTAACATCGTCGACGGTGTCGTTAGGCAGTTTCACTGCTACGCTTATACACCCGCGCGACGACAACGTAACGATAACGACACATTGTTGTCAGGAATTGCTAGAATAAGCCTACTGCGTCAAATTCACGATTTCAGCCGTAATCTCGTAATTATCTCGTCGGATTGATTGACACGCGTTTCCGAAGCCGGAGATATACGTAACGATCGCTCCCATCGTCGGGGAAAGGATTCAGTTAACAGTCGTGGCGCGTGCGAGACGATTAATTGTGCTCTCGAAGTCGAAAGTTTGCCACGAAATGCTAATAATCAGCCTATCATCAGTCTTATTGATCGTGTGCTATTCTGCACGTCCAGCTATCTGCGATCGTTGCTGCCAGATCAATTACCACGAGCTACCGCAGTACGAGCTAATAAAGACCAATTCGTACTCGAAGCAACCGATCATATCGCGAAGAGTGGTTTCCAACGTGAGCGAGTGCGAAAAATTCGCCGCGTCGAAGAAGGCCCTCGCCTTCAATCTGGCTTCCACGAGGAATCGTGAGGGTACGCGGATAACAGACAATTAGATGTAAGGTATTCGAGGTATAATTTCACGATAATTTCTACACGATACCTTACCTGCATGTAATCGCGGCGAGGTATATCGCGCGGCGCCGTGAGAACACCGTAAAGCACAGTGTAATTATCATATTCAATTAGAGGAATTAATCCATGCATGTTTGTAATTTCTTCACCTGGCGCATCTCCTGCAACCACGCGCGTGGCGTTTTCACGACGTTTCCCCGGCGAGAACACCGCAGGAAGGCATGAAAATCTGTGCCAGGCTTTGCAGTGCCCGGAGGACTACAACATGACCACTCTCGTGCCAAAGGCGAATTACGAATACTACAGCATGTATCCGGTTTTTGTTCCATCAGGTAACCGCTGCAGCTGCGAGTGTTAGACTTGAGTGACTTTGCGAATTAACGAGCGAAATAAGCTCGAAAGCTTTTTGTCTCAATGTCGTCACGAGTCTGCATTCTCGTAGCTTCACTAAACAGAAGTAGAATAGTAGAAATTGGAATAAATCATTTATTTTATTTGATAATTATTTTTATAAAGCTCGCCCAAACTAATAGCAAACTAATAGCAAAAGATCAATCGCCATTGCACTTTATTTGCGTATCTTTAATAAATGATGATGAAAAGCCACTTCGACCTCTAGATATATTGTTAAATAATGAAACTCTGAGACTCACCCGATTCGCCGTAACGTACATTTTGCAATAATAATAACCGTCCCGTTGAAACATCAACGAATAAACTGCAAGTTAACTCCATCTATCAGTATCGAGAAAGGAACTGAATTGCGAGGAACTTGGTAGGTTTAAGTCTCGACTGAAGAAGAAGGCTAGAAGGATGTTTCTCTGATACATGTTGGTCGAGGCTCAATTAATTAAAGTGGGTTAATTAAAGTTGGTGAAATGTGGATTGAGTTTCGATTAAAAAAAGCTGATGGAGGAAAAACATCAAGTGCGACCCTAAAAATTCGAAAAAAGTTTGATTTTAAAAATATCACTGTAAAATTGTAAAGCAATTATTTCGTAGAGCAACTGTTTGTTCTTATTTTACTTTTTTATTTTTATTTTGCTATTTTTTTAATAGAAATTTAATGATGGATCGGACAAATTATTATTTTGTGTCACATAACTCAAATTATTTTTAGAAAACACCACTGTGGAATGCATTCCCAGAGTGGGAATATTCCTGTTCTCTTCCGAGAACTTGAATTACACGCAAGCTCGGACGTTTTGCCGAGGAAAGAACGCATCACTCGCGCATATAATCAGCGAGGAACGCACAGAGGGTTTGGCAAAGTTCGTCTCACCGACTACACCCAGATTCGTGGGTCTGAGCAATAATGACGGTGAAAGGATCTGGAAGAATGTGTTTGGTATTCGCTACTTCCTTTTCATCTTTATTTATTACGTGCGCGCGACATTTCTACACGGCGAAGCTTGTAAAAAGTTCTCCCGAAATGTATATATATATATATATATATGATTTAAAAATCTTTAAAAATTCTAAAATATATTTTTCGACAGACGAACCTCTGTCGTGCTTCGAATATCGAGCATGGGGTGAAGGACAGCCGTCGCACTCCAGAGGCTGCGCTGTGCTTGTAAACTCACCTGATAAGGACACATCGCCCTCATGGAAGGTCGTACCCTGTTATATATCGTTGCCCTTTATTTGCGAAGTTACACCACTAACGACTCGACAACGCTCATCACGACGACGTCACGGATATCCAAAGTTCTCGCGTGCCATTTCCGAATATAGGAAGATACACGTATAAAAAAAATAGTTTAGATCGCAAAAATTACGACGGCCCTTTGCCAAGACGACGAATGACGAAAAAGGTCGGAATGAAGACAGCCGTTAAATATGTACAGAGATTTAATGTCAGAACTACAGGACTCCAGCATTTTTCGCTCAGCACAGTGTCTGTGCGTCTCTGTGTGTAATGCAGAGAAGAAAGAGGGAGAATTCACTCCGATGGCTTTTTTGTTTTATTTACAGGTACGATATCATCGTTAAAACACGTCGTGTGTATGCACAATTGAGACACGAGATACAGGAGGAAGGGAAAATATATATATATATATATGTATATAACTCTCACTCGTTAGCTTATTACATATATATGTACATAGGCCTAACGTGAATAACATTAAAAATCGTATGGTTCGTCCGTCACAGCGTAAGAGAGTCAGCTGGTCAGCTCCCGACGATCGATTCTCTCCTTACGTTCTAGAGCATGCTTTCTACAGCGATATCACTTAACAACTATGTAGCTAACAGCAGCTGCTGTACGATCGCTCTTTGATAGGACACTTATCAGGAGGACACCTTCTTTTTCTTCTTTTTTTTGTTTGCGAGACACGCGCGATGTGACGCGTGCGGTCGCAACATGTGCGATAGGAAAATGTTCCGTCCACCTCGATAAGATTCGATGTCGAGCATCAACAACAATTGAAAATAAGTTTCGCCGTTGGCATGTTATTAATCTTTGTATATTTTCGCGGGGGCGATGCTCGCTCGCTCGCTCGCATAGCGCCGATAATAATCGAAAGCGTATAAGAGAGATTGTTGTACCATGATTAATGATTACATCGATCAATTAGGTGAATCGTTAATCCAACTGCGTATTAGGACAATAGTGGTGTACTCGGGGCGCGATATTCTCGGATAATAATGTGGCGATGTGGCTCTCTTCTCGTCGCGAAATCATCTCTCGCGCGCGTATTCTGTCGACGCACGCGGAAAATCGCGAAGTGACGATAGTATAACGCTGTGGTATTTACAAATTAGCGGGCGCGTTTAATTAATTCTCTCTCGAAGTATTCTTATTCTTTTTTTTTTCTTCTTTTTCTCTTCGACGGCGATGCGGAGAACGCACGATTTACGTACGGTATGATAACACGTGTATAAATAACGGATCATAACTAAAAATCGCCAACGCGTGTACTCTCTCTCTCTCTCTCTCTCTCTCTCTCTCTCTCTCTCTCTCTCTCTCTCTCTCTCTCCCCCCCCCCTCTCCCTCTATTTGTTTACATCTGAAAACGCTGATGGCGCTGTGCTGAGAAAAGTTAAGTGCGTTTGCAAAATACAATTATACAGTGAATCGGATCGCGAGGAGTTGGTTACGAAGGGAAGACGACGCACATGTGTAACGGAGTGACGGAAACGACGACTGATCGATCGATACTTAACGAACGAGTTGTATTCGTTGTAAAAATATCGTCCAAAGGAGCGCGGGCGCGCGTTAATAAAAACGAAACCGAAATACCCTTTAATCGAGCTCCTGAGCAGCGCACGCTGATCGGACGAACGACCCGCTCGCTTGGGTTTAGCGAGATGTAATTGTAATAAACGCGATTACAAAACGCAGCAAACGTTCTGTCGAGCTCGCTTAACATCTATGTATTATTATTGTCACGCGTCGTATCTGCGAGAGTGTGCACTGTGACGTTAGTGTGACGTTTCGCAAACAGAGGCTTCCTCTTCGTACGAACATGAATTAACATATTCCACGTAAAAAAGTGTTGTCGCCGATTTAAAACCTTCTTTTCTTTTCTTTCTTTCTTGTTTTCTTTCTTTTCGTCTGATATCTATTCTGCGGCTTAAATATAAAAGTATAAAAGATGTGCTTCTCCGCTATGAGTGTATGATATAATACGACTGCGAGCACGTTACGTCATCGTCATCGTCGTCGTCGTCGTCGTCGTGGTCTCGTCGTTATGTCGAACATTTTTCGAACATTCTTTTCTTCTTATTTTTTGTAAGCGTGGTCGGTGTTGGATGCCGATTAAGAGAGTCGCGATATCACATTTAGATTAGAAACGAACCATGAAATTGTTGCGTACCCACAAATCAGAGCAGTCTCGCGTGAAATTCGACAGAAGGAAAGCGCTTCGTGAAATCATTCGCGACGTTCTATCGGGTCAGTCAAAAGGTTTTCATTTCTCAAGGAGATTTGATCTCTTGGTCCGTTCAACGGACGCAGGTTACTCGTCGATCGAATAATTGCCGTCGTTGTCTGTGTGAGTTATCGCCAAACGGTTTTGGCGGTCCTCGTATATCTCTATCGTAGAAGGTAACAATCGTCGATTTGCCGTTGAAGAAAACGGAAAATCGATTCGAACGTTTTGACTGAATCAATATTTCACAGACACGAGCAGATCCCTACGTTGTTGGACCAATTTGTTAATCAATCGCAGCTCGTCGAACTTTGTGGAAGCTGTTCTCGCGATTCTACGACGTTTGCACGAAAGGTTACGCACGCTTTCTCGATTTTTGTTAAACCGTCATGCAAACCAGTGTGCCTCGCGATGTGAGAGTTTTCTTCAAAATCTGGTACTTGCGCGTATCGCAAGCTACTTTAAAAATAAAATAAACGTTACGGGCGATGTAGCAATAATACATTTCTTAAGGAAAATGAGTAATAAAAAAAAAACACAAAACGATCGCGTTACAAACTACTACGACGTGTATGAAATTTTAATTAAAAAATGCGTTTATGAAGATATTATACAACCTTATGTGATAAGGGAAACGATTATACGACGAATCTGCTCATTGATCTTTTTTCGAAGTTTGGGGACGGACTTTTGATACGCAATAGATTAACAATTAAAACGCACGTTGTTACTCGTGAAATAAATTTGAGACAGAGGAATACTCCACTTTAATGCAAATGTAAATTTTTCTCTCGTAAAATTTATCTGTAAAAACGTGTCAATGCAACGTGTCAATTAAAAGCTATTCGCGAAACACACCATTGAATAACCGAGTCGCCCCAGAAAAGTATAGATTTTCTTGCGCAAGCGTTATATGTCGCGTAACTGGCGAGTGCTGATTGAACGAATTGATTGTATAAATTCGTGCAAATAAAATAATAAAAAATGTGTGTGCGTATGTGACCGAATAAATACGATAAAACTAAATCCGGCTAGATTTCCGAATGATTTGTATGTTACATCGAAATATTCGTAATCTCTCTCTTTAAAAAAATCAACAGAAAAGAATAAAATATACATATGTATATAGATATAGATATCTGTATCCTGAACCTGAATGCTATCGGAGGAAAACCTTTCAGTCCGCTATTGTTAGCTAAAGCATCAACTATGTCTCGTGAAATACCGATATAAAAAATTAAATAGCGTTTCTCGTTTCTCTCGTATTCCTCTCATATATCTATAATAAATCTTCGTTACTTTTATACCGTGTCCACTTAAAATTCCGTCGTCATAAAAAAATAAAAACATCATTTCTTCTTCATATTCAACACGATTCATCGCGATTACATCGAATAAAATCTGCTAGTCTGTCGTTTTCTCTCGCTTTTTTTTTTTCTTTTTTCTTTTCTTTCTCCTCTTTCCTCATCTTTAAGTGGGCTACAGTGCGCGTAGAGCTTTATCGTTATGTCACCATACTTTTATCCAGGACAACAGAAACTTTTTCTCTCACGAATCTCTCGCTGCCTCATTCCCCTGTACACGGGGGTACATTATAACCATGCGACACACTACGATATATCACATATCGCGTTATTAGCACCGTTTCGAAGACATAATCAAAATGGAATATGCTTCGATAAGCGGGTGGAAAATAATGGCTCGACGTACGCTCGGCGTCGATTTAGGCTTGTACGGGTCATTACATAGTCATTTACTAGTTACACAGATCTCGGTGATATATCACTCGCCGACGAACGACGAGGGATCGCTTACTCCTATCGTCGAATGAGGCATCCCGGGGAAAAATGCGGCGAACAGAAACGCTTTGCATTGGCACAGGGATCACTCGAGAAACTTACGGCAAGTCATCACACGATGAACGCGAGGCAGCTGTATTCGTTGGACAAAACAAGATGAAAGATCACAAATGCTGTTTTTACGTCTTATCGCGACAGCTACGAATTTAAGTACGTGTTTTCGTCTCTCTCCTCCACGATTCCTCTTACCGCTTGACACTAAGATATTAAAAAATAATCAGCGATCTCGCGCAAATTCTCTCAGAAGATACGCGCGTGTACTCAAAAGGAGTAACTCTATATAAAATAACAAATTAAATGCAAATTGGTAAAAACTGAGCACGGGCACCCACCACACGGAAGGACACTTGCGCTATTTTTTTTCCCTTTCTTTCTCCTTTTCTTTTCGTTTTTGAAACGAAATCACAAGTCGCAAGATCTGTCGTGCTACTGATATAATGTGGGGGAGGGAAAGATTTCGTCGTAACAATCTAGAATATATGTGCAAATATACATCGAAGATTTATGTTGCGAGTTTCTGATATGTGTCATGAGCTTGAAATCAAAGGAAACGGAGCCGCTAGAGTCGTTCAAAATCATGACATTTTTGCGACTGGGAACGCTAAATGGATAAACAGTCGTAAAATATAGCCGGGACTGTGAAAACAGGGGAAGGGGGAGACACAACGGCAGGCAGAATGAGATCTGTTAAAATGATCGGAGATGACACTAACCAACTAAGCAACCAGATGACGGGATATAATACTTCTGCAGGCGAAGAATGTCGTATGTGGAATGTTGCGTTTTAAAATCGGCCCATACGAATACTGCATTGACGGAGCAAACAATAAACGGATGCTACCAAAAAATTGAATAAATATATAACAACATTAATATAGTAATAAACATTACATGCTAGCAGCAGCATTAGTTTCTTTCTCATTAATGGCGCAATGAGAAAACAACACACTGGTAATACGGGCAGAGATAAATATACTATCGATTTTCTTCTCCTCTCTCTCTCTCTCTCTCTCTCTCTCTCTCTCTCTCTCTCTCTCTCTCTCTCTCTCTCTCCTCTCTTTCTCATTCTCCTTCACGCCGTACGTATTATACCTTGTTGTTAATCGATGCATTCGCGAGAAGAGGTATGAGCTGTTCGGAGAGCTGTCCTACCGTCACTTGCAATACTGCTTGCTTCTCTTCCAACGCGGCGACCTTGTTGAAGCAGTTTAAATTAATAGGCATTGTCACATGTACAAACGCCACGCACAATGAAATGAAAATTTAAGGAACAATAGTTTATCTCGATACTTACCCTCTCCAATAACTTGCTATAGAGGGCATATGGAACGTAGGCCGGCTGTCCGGATGGCGTAGCGGGACTGTGATCAGCGTGGGGGCTTATGTCGGCTCTCGGACTTTTCGCCTCTTTCTGCTTACTATCGTCGTTGTCAGCATCCGCGACGTTCGTTTGTGTCAGCAATCTGCCGGACGATAACGTGTGACGCACACATTACGACACACGTCTACACGTTCGCGGGGAACAAACATGACAATGTCTGCGGGAAAAGCTGAGACATACCTGGAGGAATTTCGTTCTTTCTTTATCTCCACTTTCTCCGTTCGTTCTACCGCTATCTTTCTCCTCTCCATCTGATTCATCTTCAATTCCTCGACCTGCGATCAAATTGACGATATCAGAGATGATGAGAAGATCGAGAGAAATCGCGCGCTCAACTTTTGTTCTGTCCCAAGCAACGACATTTTATTACCCATGGTGCTTTTCTCCTCGCTTTCGCAGCAAGCCCGTCTGTCTCTTCATCCGTTATTTGCTCCAACGCGGAGTCGGCGCGTCCATTAGACAAATCGTCCTCCTGCGTGTTGCAAAGAAGAGATTAAGTTACCATTTTCTATTCGAATCGAATCGATAGACACAGTATTGGCGGGTGAGCGAGCAGCGTACCAGAACAGTACTGGGAACAGACGGTAGAGTTGGGACTGAGCTCGCACTAGCAGATCCAGCGGCGTGATGGCGCAGATGTTGCGAAGAAGGCGGGCGTCGACGGGGCGCTTTAGCGCGAGAAGCTGTCAAATGCGAAAGCGGCGCACCTTCCCCTCGCTCCACGCCGTCCAGCTCCTCGCCCAACGCGGCACTCGTATTTCCGATACCGTTATTATTCCCCACGTCGCTCACGAGACGTTTCAGGCTCGATATAATCGAGTGGCCACCGGCCGTTTTCTTATCGCCGCCTCCGCTTCCGGTACCGGTGCCCGTCAACGAGGATGATGTCGATACGGAGGACGACGACGTCGACAGGACCTTTTTGGTGCTGTCTATGGCGGGGAAGTGATCTGATGTGGAGTATACAATATTGCATCGTGTGTTATTTACTTTCACACGTGAAAGTATCGAATCGACGTAAGGAATCGCTTTACGCTTCCCTTTTACCTGATATATTACTCGGATGCACGTTCCTAGAGTCCAGACTTTTTCTAACGTGTGCCTTTTCGCTCTTCTTCATCTGATAGGAATGCCTAATGCTCGACTTTGTATTGAGTTGCGATGCTGAATCGTACCACTGTTCCTGTTCCTGGTGTTCGTTCTTCGCACCGATAACGTCCACAAAGTTATCAGGGAACAAGCCCACTTGTCCCCTCAATTCTCCCTTCCACCAACCCTGTACACATAAATCACATTTACATCACTCTCCTGTATTTGTGTATGGATATATTACATTTGTCATGTATATATACATATACATATACATATATTCACAGACACAGATTTAGTTTTACCAATTTACACGCCAATTGTCAATTAGATCAATTACAAACCTTGTCTGGTGCATCCCTGGACAAAAGTGTGACGATCTCTCCCTCGACCAAGGTAAGTTCATCCTCATTGGCTGCCTCATAAGGGAAGAGTACTCTGCACAACTCCTTTTTATCCCGATCCTTGTGTTTGTCCTGTTCCTCAGGAACAGGATGAGAAACAAAGTTCGAGGGGAACACACCGACTCTGCCTCTGAGGCGACCTCTCCACCATCCCTCTTCCACTTCTCCTATGAATTCTATGGAGTCTTGCGGCGTTAGAGATAATTCGTCCTCGTTGCAAGGATCGTAACTGAAGAGGACTTTGCAGAAACGTCTGCCCGATCCGTTCCTCAAAGTTACTTCATCAGACTTGGCGTTGTTTATGGTTTCACTGTTGCTGCCGCTACTTCCACCGCTGGTTGTGATTGGATCTATCACCTGTGTGTATAAATCCAACGTGCAGCACGGTATTAAAATAACCAAATACATACGAGCAACAAGTACGACTGGGTCTACCGTACCTTGACGAAATTATCAGGAAACATGCCACGCTTGTCTCGCAAGGTGCCTTCCCACCAACCTCCGAGCATCATTCTGATGTCTGTGATGATGTCACCCTTCCTCAGAGTCAGCTCGTCGTCCTCTTGCGCCGCATAGTTATATTCCACAATCGCCTCCATCCTAGGAAACGATCCTGACACAGGCGCGAGATGTATCTACGGCGAAACAGTGGCACACTTGCCTCACCATGCGACAGCGAGGCGGCGTGCGTTCGGTCGCTCGTTGACGAGCCGATTATCCTCCGACGCGTAGTCAAGTGAGGCGAGAGGCGACGATCGCAAAAAAGGCCAGTCGAGGAGTTGAGTGAACGTCCACGAGGGGAAACGGGTCGCGGGTCCCGAGCATACGTATACCGTGCGTGCGTGCGTGCGTGCATGCATGCGTGCGAGTCAGCAAGTGACGCACGCTCGCGGCGATGGCTCGTCGTGTGTGTTTTACCGACAGTCTCGATGCGTCCCGCCAGCGGTCCCGTGCTGATCTACCGTGTGCATCGCAACGCGACGCGACGCGACGCGACGCAACGCAACGATACGCAACGCAGCGCGATATCGGCCCGCCGCGTGGCTCGAAATTTAGGCGGATCCCAGGCTTGACGGTTGACAGCTCCCCGTGTCTGTCACCGCGGCCATATTGCAAGCTCGGGAAACGTCTCGGTCTCTCGGCGCTCCTGATCTGGCCGAGGCGTGCGCGTACACACGCCACTCTCTGTTCCTAGAGACCGTTGACTCTGCACGCCCTCTCTCACTCGGCGAGAAGCCATGTTTCAATCGGCAGCACCAGACATGGCGCGGTCGCGCCGCTTGGCGGACTCTCGGCGCGGGACGAATACGCATTTCTCTCAGCTGCGCGGCGACTCTTGCGTGCAACCGAAGAGGTACTCGTTCTTTAACTTTTCAACTTTTAAATCGCGAAACGCGAAAGGCGTCGCCGGCCCGTTATTGAAATCAAACGCGCGAGGTTAGGCGCGCCTTCGGAGAGGCGCCTCTCACACGCGAGGTCTCGAGATTCGAGATTACCGAGGAGGAGGAGGATCCTGATGGATCCTCCTCCTCCGTTTTTCACTCGCAGGCTGCTCGCGAGGATCCTCCGTCTCTCATCGGGCTTAAGTCGATCGAAGGATCGGCGAAGGACGATGATGTCGTCATCCGATGGTACACGCTCGGTAGTTGGCGCCAACGCGTTTGAACATGGCGCAGCAACATGGCGGGAGCGGCTGATTCTTCGATTCGAAAGACCCTAGGCGCTCGCGCGCATCTCGCGAGATGCATCTCGCTCGTGCCGACGCACCCGTGCGTATCGCGGATGCGTGTCGTACGTCGACGTGAGTCACGAAGCGCACGTGCTCCATGTGCCCCGGATGACGATACGGCGGCCAACGGCGCGTGTAAACCGCTATTCCCGCGCGCTATTGTCGCGCTCTCGACGATCAGGGTTGAAAAATCGAGCAAGGGGAATTCGAAAAGAGGCCATTCGGAAAACGGAGACACGGGCGAGTCACGGCAGGCACGTCGCCCGGCGCGCGCGTCTTCAGAGCCCGCTCAGTCGATTATATTCGCGTATTCTCTCGCGTGATCACTCACGTTTAAACACGAAGAAACACCGCACGCCTATCGCCTATCTCGAGAGGCAAACGTACCGTAAACGCGCGTAAAGGAAGGCGCGAAGGCCTTATCTCTCTTATATCGAAGGAGCGACACCATCTGCGCGACCGTTCGATTTTCAACAGTAACGTATATATACTTACGATATCTGCGATATGAAGAGAATTCTATTTATTGTTGCAGATGACAATTATGTCGGAGCAACACGAGAGCGACCACCGGGAGCACAAAATTCCCGCTAACTCGAGTCGGTTAACTTGTCGCGGACTGACTTGTCGCGAAGTCGCGCTCGCGTGCGACGCGCACGTTCCACATTCTGAGGAGGAAACCGCCGTGCGGACACAATGTGCGGCACACGTACCTGTCAAACGCGTCGTGTAGACCACTCGGCGACTTCCTCGTGCGCATCGACGGAGTCGATTCAGCGTGCGTGCGTTCAGCGTGGAAAACGGTGCGTGTCATCCTCCATTTTCAAGTCGCTGATTCATTCCGGTAATCGCTCGGCCGTCTTATCGCCGAAGACTATCACGTATCGGCGCGGTCGCACGACGAATACCGAGTTCCACGACACCTCGCACAAAACGTGCGAGTGTGTCGTACAGTTATTAGGCAACAGCTGGATTGACACACCTGCGACGCGTGTACTCGGGGCAAGATGCCTGCATTAGAAAATTTCACGCCTCACTTTCTTCCTCAGTTGCGGCACGAGCACGAGAGAATGAGAAAGGAAGAAAGAATCGCTTCGTGTTCTTTCCTATTTGTATTCTCTTTCCGTTGCTCGCGCGACTCAGATCATTCTCTTGTTTGAATTCTCTGTGAAAGTTATCTGCTCTTTTCTTCAGCCGAGACAAATCGTGATGTCGTGATATGAGGTATCGTCCTCTTTGTGTTTTTTTTTTTTTTTTTGCTTTCTTCTCATAATCGGGCTTTGCATTGCCCGAACCGTCATTGTGCAACCGGCATTGCGAACCGCATTGAGCAATGCTAAATTGTCAGCAGTTTGCGACATCGCGCGTGTAAAGAGAAAATGCATAGTGTCGTAGGTAAAAAGTGTGTATTTTTTATTTATTATTGATTCAGACACATCGAGTTGAACAAGTTGTCTCTACAAACTTAAAAACTTATACACTTATACATTCAGATAATCGATCGCGAAGGTCGAATTAAATTCACGTAACGTGTGATACGGATTATCGAAGGTGAGGGTGATGTAATGACAAACGAAAAACGTCGTAAAAGCTGCGTCGTTACATCGTATGTTTAACATCTTCGCGGTTAGTCCCTCGGTTTGATCGGGCAAGGTGCATTCCTTACGCTCGGTTGTTGTCCCTGTGGACGAAATTCCACAGGAAACGAAAGAGATCATTGTATGCGCGCATCTCGTTTGCGAAGATGAAACAAGCTGTCGATGCAATCGTATCGATTAATTCGTTAACAAAGGGAGAGTTGTATAAAATTTCACAAAGTGGCGTCGCATTTGTTTCGCTCGACGTGCGATGGGAAACAATCGGCAACCGCAACCGATTTGCCCGATCAACCCGTCCTATCATTTATCACTATGTATATCTTAACAGGGCTTGTATATAACAGAAACATAGCTTCGTCTTTTCCGTCAGGAAACTTTCGTCATATCGTTGAAAATCGTAAAGTCGTTGGGAACCGAGAACTACTAGTTCGCAGAGCCGTAACTAGAGCCGTGCGCGAAACAGAATCGAAGTAGAAATTGTGGAAGCGCAATTGACCGCGCGCCGATTAATTAATTTCACAAATCAATAATTCACCGGGCCGAATTTTACTAATCTTTGCCAGATCCAACCAAGAACCGCGGTAATATATGGGTCGAGAAAAATGTTAGGACGATCCGTACGTAGTAAAAGGTAAAAGAGTACCAGCGGCGAAACAGGCAAACGCAGGCGAATTTTAACCCCGTTAAATTTTTTCGTAAGATCTCGGAAATATCGGGTAATCAACAAAACGTCGTTGCGCTCGCGCTCATGAATTAATGTACGCTAGTTACGGCGCTGCACGCGCGCGCACATACGTGGCAGGCTCAATTAAGTCGGTATAAAAAATGCTCCTCCGCGAGAGGCTCGTCAGCCAAAGACCAGCTTCGGCTGAGAAATCAAGCACTTTGATGAAGGCAAACGATCCAGCGTCCCTCGAAAAAGAAACTCGTGTAAAGCGACTCTCACCGTCCATATGGCCGATGTCGAGTTCGAAAATTGACTTTTTCTTCTTCTTTTTTTCCTTCTTTCTCTCTCTCTCTCCCTCTCTCCCTCCCTCTCTCTCTCTCTCTCTCTCTCTCTCTCTCTCTCTCTTTCACACACGTGTTACTTCCTCCATATATCCGTCGCGAGTAACGAGCGCCCGTGAGCAAAATTATCGCGTAAATTATCGTATCGAGCCACGCGCGAAATGCCTAATCGGAGAATTCGAACGGTCGAAATTGTGCGGTTTTATGACCGTCGAATTTACGACGATTCAGTTTCATCGGCAGAAACGCTCGCCGCTGCCTCTTGGCTCTTCGCGTCCGTCCGGAGAAGTTGATTTTTACGAAGATAACGTCGAGTATGTTCGTCACGGGCGCCTCCTCTCGCTCTCGCTCTACAGTCCATGGAACGAAAATTAACGATACTTCTGACAAATTACGCGCGCATCATAAAGAAGGTCATCTGGATTAACGCGAATAGAGCGCATTCGAGCACATCCCGGTTTTTCTAATCGCACCTACAATCCGCTAATCCAAGGTTTCCCAAACTTTGAGAAAAGAAAAAATATATAATATATGCATGTGTATAATATACATATATGCTGTGGTCCTCTCTAACAGTATACGTGCAGACGTATTCGTTTGTCTTTCGTTAAAAATTCCATTCGTCAGAATCAAAGCGAAAAATTTAAACAGCCGATCTGCTCCGAGACCAAACGCGGGGCAATAATCAGTTTTACAACAGGTACAATTTCATTTGTTAGAAAGCAATCTGGGAAGCTGCTGGGATAAATATGATCCTTTCGTACGACAGGAGTATCTTCGTTGTCCTTTGTACAAAGTTACACCTTGCGAGCGTGGAAGGTGTAGAAATTAAATTAAAAATAATCCGACCCTCGTGTTTGTTCCAAGTTTGGGAAACCCCGCGCTAATTAAAGGGCGCAGGCTGCTTAGCGGGCGAGACATTATCGGATTCCGTAGTTTTTATACAAATACGCCGCGATTTATAAATATATAAAAGCAACAAATATATATACCATCATATCGTGTGTATATATATATATATTTTTATATATAATAATAATATATATATATGTATATTTTTATAATATCCTGCAAATGGTACAAAGCCTATGTATCGTAGCCTGTTACGTTTAGGATTACGATTGCGGCTGAGAAAACAAATTGTGTCGTCGTGTCGATCGCTAATCCGCTAATGTGCGCGATTCGCAAGTGATCTCGTTTCGTCGGCATCGTCGCAGCAACGTCGATCGATATCGCGACAGATATAATGCACTTGCCGCCGAGTGCATGCGCTCTTTAGACCCGAGCGTGTCGCGACGCGAGCTGCGAGCGAGCGTGCGGGAAACGCGAAAATGGCTTTTCGCGAAGTGCCAGCAGCTCTCGGTGCAACGTGCGATCGCACGTTGCACCGAGAGCAAAAGCCGCAGGATTGCCCCCTCGCAAAAACGCGGCAGCACGAACCTAGCTGCCGCGTTTCCTTTCTCTCTTTCTCGCTCATTTCTTTCCTTCCTCCTTTCTTTCTCTTTCTTTCCTTCGTTTTTCTTTCCTGTCCTACCTTGCCTTTCTTGCAAACGGCAGACGTCCGTCGCGGTGCCGCGGCACGACCGTTGCCGCGCGCAAATCGGTAATCACAGCGGCGATAATGATCGCGAAAATGACCGCGCCGCTTCTCGGTGGCGGTCCGCGATCCGCTTGTTCCCTCTTCGCCCCCCCCCCTCTCCTCCCGGATATTTAAACGAGAAAGAAAAGGTATTCTGTGTTGCGAGTATCGTACCATCGATTCTCTCGCGTGATCCCAAGAGTTCCCAAGCTCTCCAAGAGGTGTGTTTGCCGAAGTAGTGAGCTTTTAATTGGAGCTTTAATCGGGCACCGAGAGCCTCGTCCACACACACACACACACACACACACACACACACACACACACACACACACACACAGTCACGGTTACTTTCTCGCTGGTTAGTTTCGCCTCCCCTCCCCGATCGATCGTGAAGCGATTTGTTACGATACTTTGTGCAATGTGTATCCTCCACCCCGCGTGTTCCTTCCTTTTCTCCTCCCTCCACTTCCTCCTTCTCTCCTCCCCTGTCCTTACCTTCTTCCTCACAGTCATCGATAGGCACAATAAAGGCTTCCTCTTTTTCTGTGCTTTTGCCAACGTAAACGAAAAGTATACACGATGAGGGTGGTCTCTCTCTCTCTCTCTCTCTCTCTCTCTCTCTCTCTCTCTCTCTCTCTCTCTCTCTCTCTCTCTCTCTCTTTCCCTTTTTGTCATTGAAAGGGCAACGACGATTCTACGTTCGCTACGTTCAAAGGTTGTGCGCTTCTCTATACGATGAAATAGATATATCGATAACTCTAAACAATATAAAACATCCCTTACGTAATGTAACGTGGCAACGACGCGCATGAACAGGATCGTA